TGCGGACACCTCGACGAAGAGCAAAACTGGAGCAGTGGGGCATCGTTCCGAAGGAAGAAAGAGGGGTCGAGCGAATGAAATAGCGAACGAGAACAAGGAGGATCGGGAGGTATCCTCTGTAAAGAGTGTGAAAAAACAAGAGCATTCTGAGAAGGTTGACGATGATACGAAGAATGATCCGAAGAGGGAAGATGTGAAGAATGATACCGTGGGATCGGTGGATGACGAGACGAAGGAGAATAAGGGAGGGGTCGAGTCGAAGACGACGTTTCCATTCGTCAAAAGTGAGGACAGGTTTGAATTCAGGGACGACAGGATAGATTTATTGAGCGATTTTGATAAGTCTGACAACGAGGATGAATTTGAAAGTGCATCAGATTCGAATTTCACACCTCAGAATGGAGCTGTTCAAATGACCGAGCAAGGTTCAAGTGAAATTGTCTCTTCGGCTTCTTGGATATCGGAGAATTATGATTTTTAATTAGAATTTTATATTTTTTTATTTAGTTTATGATTATTTTTTTTTTTTTTTTAGAAAGAAGAGAAAGAAAAATTGAAAGTGGAACTGTCGTTGTTTTGATGAGGCAATATTTATGAAAATTAGAAGAAATTGATTGGAAAGAGATTGATGAAACATTGTTGAGAGGATGTCAGGTTCATTAGGGATTTTTATTAAAACTTTCTTTCATTAAATTGATGTTTCGAGAGAGTTTTGTATGATATGATGTCATAAAAAGGTGAAACGAATTTTATTTTAGAACGAATATGATGTTTCTTACGATAATGATTCATTTCAGACTTCGTTTGGATGATTTACTATGAAATGTTATTATAAAAAAAATTATTTTAAATTATTAATTATAAAAAAATTATTTTTAAAATATACGATTTAAAATGTGCGATTGAGGAGAAAATTATAACGCGGAATGGATGGAAATCGAACGATTGATAAGTTTATGAAACAAAGAAAGAAGTAATATAAGAAATCAGAGCAAATAATTTATCGATCTAGATGTTGGATGATATTTCTTAATAATTTTTTGCAATAATTTTCATTTCTGAAATGAATCCATTAAATTTTATCAATTTTTATATATCGATTTTAATAATGAAGATAGATAGATATTTTTAACATTAACGAATAAAGTTTTATATATATGTTCAATCGTGTCATGTATATTAATAAAATCAATCGAATGAAAATAAATATATTGCACAAGAAACGAAATATTCTTCTGAAAAAATTCCTTATAAGTTTTAATTTCCAATTAATTATTTTATTTTTGTACGATAATTGATCATAATCAAAAAATATCAATAATTTATTACCCTCGTTATATAATTCGAATCCTTGTTTCCAACCTGGATATCCTTGATCTAATTTTCTAGAATAAATTGTCACGTGACAATTCCTCCATAAAATTTAGCGAGTGTATTTATCAATCATTCTTTCGTTCATTGTACTCCATCAAACCTAGTGAAAATGATTCATCGATAATTTTACGATGAATAATAGTGCACTTGCACTTAATGATATATTGTGTCGGCTCGATACAATGATTCATACCATTTTATTAACCGCACAATGCTTCTGAAATAATGATTTTATTTAAGTAGACACACTTATGAACTTCACGGTCTAAATACTCTTACTGCTAAAGAAAATTATGTGGGCGATGCAATTAATTAACCAATGTGTTATAACTACATATTTTTTTTTAAACGCTTCGTTAACCAACATCTGCATCTTCAATTACTAATATTTTCAACTATTGGTTAATTTTTTTTCATATTTGCTATCGTATTCAGCAATTTTTAAAAATATATCTCTCGATCAAATCGACTTTCGAACGATAAGATTTTCCTCAAAGAGCGTTTACCTTATTCCTTATTGGCGAAACCAATGTGAACGGTATGTGGATATATTCAACCAAGGTTAAGGTGGACGATATCCTCCATTTAAGAACGAGTTGCATTCTAATAAAATCCCATCGATGAATAACTCGATACTGAAAGGAAATACAAGAGTTTGATTGGCCAACTGCGAGGCCGAGCCCCGTATATAATTCGATCTTTACTTTAGTGCTTTAGTTTCCTTCTTGTCTTGCCACGCGATTGCCAAAAGGTTATTATGCCTTTTTTAAAGGTACGTCGACTCTTTGTACGTTTTGTATAAAAATAGAAAAAAGAAAAAGAAAAGAAAGAAGAAGCATTCGTTGTATTATTTCTTGAACAAGTGGTGCTAATTAAAGATAACTTCGTACCTCATGAAAAATGTAAATGTTTTTTCAGTGATGTGCCAATGAAGTGTATTTCTAGAAAAAAAAAAAAAAAGAATAAGAATGAAAGATACGAATGAAAAAACAATGGAACGAAAAGATCGTATTAAGAAGGATTCTAAATCAAATCGTATAAAATGTCTAAGATCTTTGATCGATATATTAAATTAATTCTAAATTAATAGAAGAAGAAGAAATGTATAATTTTGACAAATGTACGGTTGAACGATATTAACAGAAAGATCGATGTTCCTCGCGTGACAAATAGAAATAGACTTTATTAACATATTTAACTAGAACGAAAAAGAGAAAATAGTCGAAGCATGAGCGAGTAATACGAGTCGCGTGACTAACATCGTGAGAGGTGATTGTGTCCCTCCAAGGTCCATATGTTTCTTCAACGCCGTAAGCATATTCAATAAACTCTATCGAACTTTTCAAATCGAATTAAAATTATTATTCGAATCAAACTTTTCAAAGTATCTAATTTCCATTCTTCACTTTTCACTTGCCAGTTAAATTTCGATTCGATCGAAAAACTAAACTAAAAAGAAAAAAAAAAAATAAAAAAAGGAAATTTTCAATGACGAAAATCGTGGAAATGAAATATTGAGTTTGGATTGGCCAACAGAAACCTTACGCCGTGCCTATAATTCAATCTTCGAGTTTGTACTCGAGTTTCGTTCTTGTTTTACGATTCGGCAAACAGAAAACACGGATACGTGTGCTGAAATAAAAGTGATCCGTACTTAAAACGGTGCATTCAAATGAGAGGTTGCATAGAGGTTGCTGTTGTCGATCTTTTTTTTTTCTTTCCTTCTTCTTCTTCTTTTTTTTTTTTTTCTTCAAATAAAAATAAAATGTCAAGAGAAAGTGAGAACGATTAACATCTAGCGGTTAATGTCTCGAACATGTTTATTTTAACGTTTCGCTAGATTTCTAAGTTCCAATGTCTATGAAATGTTCTGTTTATGGTAAAATGAAACGAGGCAAAAAATTGACATGCAAATAATGGCATACTTTCTATCGTCGATTGTCATTTGTTGCCATTAACTTTGTCCGCCGTTGTGAAATTTTGATTTCGAAGATAATAACCTGGCTGTTAATCTTTAATTAATTTTTTAATTAAGGATCTGATTAAATTCTCTTACATCACACGAATTGAATATTGTTTCAATAATATGGGAAGATGGATATCTTCGTACGTGATATCTGATTGAAAATAAATATAAAAGAAAAAAATAAAATATTTTCCGCTTCAAAAATATATCATATCGACCAGGAGAAACGTTTGAAATATCATATTTTATTTTATGATGATAATTAATTGTTTACAGACCATTTTGCTGTTGAGTGTCGTTGGTTTGCTGAACTTATCGACAGTCGCGCCAGACAGCGCAGGAATCGTGGAAATGGTGAATGGATTGGCGTATGGTAAGTCAGTTTGTTCGTTTTCCTTTCACTTTACGAAATCTGTAAAAAAAAAAAAAAAATAAACAATTTTTGTTATTATTAATAGATACACAAATAGCAATTCCATTACCTTTTTTTTTTTTTGTATTTTTAAATACATAGATTAGTTTTCACGAAAATTAGTTTTCATGAAAACAATCATTATTTTTTTACATTCGATAAAATCACAACAGAGGACGACACTGGAGTTCGTGACCATTTCACATAAATTCCTTTCAAACATTAAATAGAGAAACGAAATAACAAAAATCTTACCTTCTATTGAATTAACGATAATAAAATAATATTAAATTATGAAAATAAACTTTACTATATTTTTTTAAACGCGTGATCGATAATCCATGAAGATTTCAATGCACCGAAGACTGGAGATTTCAACGCCTGAATAAACGATATCGACTGTTCCTTACTGTTATTACTGGAAAAATAATAAAAATAAATAAATATAAAAATAACATACCTACCTGTAATCAACATCGATAAAATTTTTATTACTATTCTTCAATTTTTTCCTATTCTATTTTTATTATTCTCAGGTGGCATTCCCTATGGAAGTATAACTGGCATGGTAGCAAAGTATCCAGGATTCATGGGGCAACAATTGAATTCTCTTCAGCCGCGGCAATTAAACGGATTGAAAAGTGCACAACCAGTGGTGATCGCTCCGAATTTTAGGGCAGCGAGATTAGCTGATGTGCATCCACGACCCGTGCAAATTTACAACGTTCCAAGTGTCGTTGCACCTGGCGTTGTGGGCACGATCAGCCACATAGGGTACTAAAGATAATTAGTTACAAAATAAGTTAGCGATGAAAAATATAAAAATTCCATTCTTGTTTGTTCAATACTTTCACACAACGCATTCCAAGAATTCCATTATATTTATTGTCACTTATAATTATATGTAATTAAAAGTCATGAAAATTGATTTAAAAGCAATCTTCAAATAATATTTGTCATTAAACAGAGATATTTTTAAATATTTTTCGCTTTTACTTCACAATTTATTTCGTACATGTATATAGGGTAGAAACTCTTCATTCAATTATGTTTGCTCAATCACTCAAATACATTGCAAACGAGAATAATAGGCATACCGTGACAAGTTATTATTCGAACGTTCGATCAACAGTTTTCTACGAAGTGAATCAGGTACTGGCATTTCCGCAGCGTATACTATAATTGTATTCAGAAATATTATTTCAAATTTCTCCTTTCTCGTATTACTCAACAATAAAATAACGAATTAAAAATTCTATAAATTATATATCGTTATAAATCGATCCCTTATTCTTCCATATCAATTGTAAAGATAAAATATACCCTTGTATCGTCGAGCTTATGAGAAAATAATCCATCTCTCGACCGATCATATTAATTATTATTGCATAAAGAAATGGCATAGCAATATCGTATACGTATGAAATATGCAAAATTGATCGGTCTTGTATCAATTGAATTAGGGCAAAAAGCGTTTATGGAGAGAAAGTATAAATGACATCGGGCACGGTGTATGCCTGTTAGTCGTCACGAGCTGCACGCACGATGCATTACCCTCTACACGTGAGTATACGCTAATACGATCCTTGCTGGCGAGAGAAAGAGAGAGAAAAAAAAAAGGAAAAGAAAAGAACGTTTCGCAATCTCACGAAGATGATATTCGTCCTACATCGATGACCAGTGTGTGGTAACAGGGCTACTTTTTCAAACGTGAATCGAGAAAATTAATTTTCGTTCCGCTCGCCTCTAACGACGCCCTTAGGCCAATTTTATATAATCCATATTGTCTTTTTTTCCAATGTTACGTTTGTTTAAATTGTCAGTCCGTATTATATACGATGTATATTTGAATATCGCGGCTCTTAAAGATACTTTGTGTGAAACCAGATGAATATCATCCATCATTAATAATCGTTAAGAATTGAGACACGGTGCATCGCGTACAGTGCAGAGAATCTTAAGGTGTAATAAATCTAGAGAAGATGCCGGCGAAACTTCTCTACCTTGTTGTTGTACAGTTGAAATAATTATTACTCAATTTTCTTATCACAGTTAGTCCAGAGAAAGATTTGATCGAGATCGTTAACAATAATATCGTACAATTTCCATATCTCGAATTTAGAATTTGTCAGCTGTGAAAAATTAGAAATGTACACTTGTGCGTGCTTTTTTTTTTAAATTTTGATTCTATTCCAAAATTTCTATTTTTGTCATTTATAACATAACATATATTTATATTTCTATCGATTGAAATTTTTGTACAATCACCTCAGCATTTAGATTAATTATAAAATACACATATCTGGCAATTGCAACCATTGTATTTACGTAATCTCGATAATTTATTACGATTCGTAAACAGCAGGACAACCAGTTGTCGCCACATGTACGCATGTCGAATAAATTTTAATGAATCCATCTTCCACGACCGATTCTCGCCTGCATATTCGCAAGTGCATGTCCTTGCGCAAAGAAAGGATTAAACGTTGCATAATCGTGCTAATTACGATCCGAGGGGAACAATATGATACAGTGTTCGTATATATGAGAACGTGTTCTACTTGAATTCAATGCAATTAATTGTAAATCTATTCCATCAACTCTTCGTTATCGATAAAAGATGAAAATGAGAAGAGGTTAATTGTGCGCAAGATCGTGTTTATTATTTTCTCAGACATTTAATTGAAGAAAAAAAAAAACAAACGCGTGTATATATAATTAAGATTAAGATATTCCCGAACGGATGTTTTATCGGTTTTATTGAACGATCCATCGTTGGAAGGAAATCGATGTTTACATTGGAAAATTTCGCGTAGGTAAAAAAAACGTGGATTCTTGGATTTTATAGTTTAAATCGCGATAGTGACCATTCATAAGGTGAGGGTATAAATCGTGAGTGATCACGTACGTTTTATTACGACCGTAGAAATTAACCTCATCAATGAATAAACCATGAATGAAACGGGATGTAATTTTAGTTACTGCCAATTGGTACGTGTCGAATAGATTTATATGATATTGCTCGTTTGCGTAATCTACTTTAACTACTTCCAACTATTTTTCCTGTATAAATTTCTATTTCAATAGTCAATTAACTAATCATTCTGTTTGGAAGAATGATGAAAGAAGTATGAAAGTGTGAATCGCAATAGGAAGGAAAAATTTTTTTTTGTTTAAACATAGATGATTAAACAATGAATAAAAATGTTTCATGATGTAGCGCGGAAGAAGATGATGGGAAAAGGAATTTTCAAATTATGAATAAATCAAAGAATAAGTTAAAGAAAAGAAAGAATTGAAATGAAAAAAATTTCCAATACTCCAGTTTTATATATCGTAATTATTCTTCCAAACCGATAATTGAAAATTATTCCATCTGCTTACACGCGAATATTTTCAGAAAAGAAATGATTAAAAAAAAAGAAAAAGAAATACTTTCTAGTTCCTGAAAATTATTTCAATTTAATCGCAATAAAAGAAAAAACAATGAGTAACAATCGAACAAAGTATTATTTTCTTATATACGAACCGCGACGAGTGATGTACAATAATTGCAATCCATTTTCTTGCTTTCTTTCATGCGTGTCGCATATTTCGAAATCAATGTTATATAATCGATTATTTTCTCGATTACTCGGCTTTTGTTCTCCTGAATACCAGAGATTTCAGGAAGTAATACAAGTTTACCGCGATTGATTGATTCGTCAAGCATTTCATGCCTCGATAACGAACACCGTGAGAAGTAATGAAGAAATACATCGATGAATTTCTGTTACAATGTGTAAATGAAACGTGAAAGAATGTGACTACTCGTCATCGCTTCGATAATCACTTACGATCGTGTATCATAAATACAAACAATGTAAACAACACGGGTGGGAAAAATGAGAGAAAGATACGTATACTTCCAAACTCGATCATTCAAACTCAAATTCTTAATTAATACAACTCGAACTCTTAATTAACAGAACTCGAATCTAATCCCATAACTCAAGTCTCGAGACTAAGTAAATCGAAATTAACCTAGAAAGAGGAAATTCCAATTTTTCAATGTGCATCCAAATCTTGTTAACTCGAAAATTAAATCAAAATTAAAAGAAATCTTTTCAACTTCTCGATTTCGAAAAGTTTCTAGAATCAAAAAGAATCCAAGGATAATTTCTTTTACGAGCACCTCTTAAATCTAGATCAATCCTTGCGAAAGGACAATTCTAATTTTTCAATCGAAACGTTTCGAAAGATTCTTCCGATTCTCAACGATTGTTCAAAATTTACACAATCGGCAATAGTGGTACATAACTGTGTCACGTAGGAAACAGTGCGTAGATCTTCGGGTTTGTGCGTGTACGTTTCATCCATTGCACAATCACAATAAAACGTCGTATTGCGGTAAATTACCGGGCTCGCTATCACGAGCCCATCATTATCCCTGTTACGCTAGTTCGAGTTAGGATTTTCCTGGATCTGGAAGGAAAGTTATCTATCGTCACTTTTCGCTTCACTTCGATTTTCCCTTTCTGGTTATAGATTGTCGTGGTGTTGACGAGCCCATGGATCCTTCAGGACGACGTGCACGCAGCGAAAAATGGTCTCAGTAAGTCGATTGTTATTCGTTCTGGGAAACGCTTTTAACGATCATCGTGCACACCCTTGAACCACTTCTAGAACAATGGGGATTATTTTTAGAAGGGAAAATTCTGCGAAACGAATACGATCGATTATTTTCTTCTTCGTCGCAGAGAGATTGCAAAAGTTTAAATCGAAATTAACAAGAAAAAAGTTCAATTTACGAATCTGTTTTAATTTTCATTCGATCTTTTGCTTCTACCTTTCGAGGCTTACCTTTTAAACATTTCCTGATAATCTACTCGGCATGTTATGGTTACGTTGGACAACAAATTTTGCCAACTTTGCAAACTTTTTCCCCTTTGTTTTTTTTTAAAAAATCTGCAAAAATAGCAACTATTCTTTCAAAATATAAATCTAATAAATATAAAAATATAATTGGAAAAAAACTTACAGTTTATTTTAAATTAATTTTTAATTATGAAAATATATTCAAATTGGGTCTAATTTTTGAAACTATCTTTGAAAAGAATTTAAAGTAAATTTTAAATATGTTAAAAAGTTTCACTATTCGAATTTTAGAAGAACGATATTAAAGCAATAACGCTTAAAAACCACTTTATTGCGAAATAGGTGCCGAAGTGCTGACGTCTTTCGCCAGAAACATCGCCTCGGTCCTATCAACGACCTTGCTCAGCGATTACCAAGACTCACCTGTGAACCACTCATCGACCAGTAACCTTCTGAAAAGAATTCAGGATGCGCAGCCACCGTTGGAGATCGCCACCAATCGTTCAGAAGGATCGGAGAATGCCTCTTTCGCTCGCTACCCTCGATCCACTCGCGAATCTTCTTCAAACGAGGGAGAAACAGCATTCCACAATCCTTTCATCCTAACAAATCCTCCGCGCTATTCAAAATATTACGAACCAGCGTCCTATAAACCGTATCAATTCACCGTGAATGCAAGAATTCCCTATAACGAGGTGAACACGCCTGAAAATCTTAATATCAACACCAAAGACAATTCCGTCAACGAGGATGTTAATGCAACACCTCTCCATTACCCTTCTCCTGGATTCGGATACAAACCCGTCAATCCGTTACCTAATCATTATGTCCAATTAGGTGTTCGCCATCATCGTCTCCCGACTCAGAGACCCGTCGATCCTCGGCAACATTCAACACCCGAACGAGAGATTGACACAGAAGATGAAAACGGGAATAATAACCAGGTTGCCAGGATAACTCGAAGACCGTATAATCTCAATTATCGTGGCTCCTTTCATAATTCTTATTACGCATTACCGTTTCAAGGACAGTTCTATCCCAGCGAGAGACCCGTGGTGGAAGGTGAGGATCGATACGTGACTAATGGACGAGATGAAAGCGATCGATTGGAAGATCAGAATCAAGGTCAAACTGCATTAGGGGGCTACGATTACGGACCTCGTTTCCATTATGGATTACCTCCTTATCACGCTTTCCATCATGGCTTTCCCGGATTCTATCCCCGCCCCTACAACGACACTTTTCATCCAGGATACAACCAGGAGCAGGGCGATGGGAATGGAACTGGTCCACAACCGTACGGTCCGCCATTTTATCACGATCCCAAGTTCGCTCCTCACCATCAACCATTTCACCCAAATTTCTATGGAAGACCCGTTCAGAATCCAGGCGAAAATCAAGGAAATCCCGAGCAAATCGTTGCACCAGAAAATGGACAGGGTAATAACGCCACGTATCATGGCCCGCCATTTGGATATCCACCACCTTACGGACCTTTTAATTTGCACGCTTACCCTTTGGTGCCATTCGGTGGATATCGTTTCGGATTCCACGATCATCACCTGTTCCCAGGGATCAAATCCGTTCCTTATTTTTACCATCACTTTCCACTTTCGTTTCATTGGAATCCGTACGGTGACCATTATTACAACTATCGACCCGTGACGACGACCGAGAAGCCCGCGGAAAAGACTGTCAACTCTGAGAACTCTGAGGCATCAGCTTCTAACAGCGAGGCTGAAACGTTGTCCGAGATCAAGTCTTCGGAGAGGACTCGATCTTCCGCTTCGAGAGGATATAAAAAACGCTTCTCCTCTGGATTCGTTGTTAAAGAGGGTAGCAAAGTAGCCGGGGATCGAACGTTGAATCAATTATCTTGACCCAGTGGACTGTAATTAATTTAAGTATTTAATATAAGGAAAAAAAAATATATATATATTATTTGTGTTACCATTTATACGTGTATTATATCTTCTTTCTTTCCTGATAATTTCCTTTAAAAAAAGAAGAAGAAAGAATCTACGTCTAAATAATCATAGAAATAAATCATCTATTCAAAAGGAGAGATTATTATTCATTTTTTAAATTACCATACTCAAGAATAATCAAAGTTATTTTTCTTAAAGCAATGCATTCTAATGCATTTTTCTTCTTTTTTTAATCTTAAAACGTTAGTCAACGAAGGAAGATCGTAAAAATACCAAATTCCACGAGGCTTGTGATAGCGATCGATTCACGTCATCGACGGAAACAGTTTCAATTAAAAAAGGGGGAAAAGTTTCGACGACTTATCCGACAGCTTATCGGACTTATCTCATCGAAACGACACGCGCCAACGTAACGTAATCGCGCCGGCCAAAGAATAAACGTTCCCATGGCCGATGATATACAAAAAAGTTCCCATAGCTCTAGTTGGCCTTATCCTGCAATTACACGGGAGCGGCGTTCCTATCACGCATCCCAACTATCACGGTCTGATAACTTTCCTGGCCTTCCCCAAGAAAATTTCGCACACGCCATTTCGATCGATCCGACAACCAATCGCAAAATTCAACTAAAAAGACAAAACGAATGAATGAAAACTTGCCTTGTTTTGGAGAGAAATCTCCATCTGAATTATCGGATCGCTCCTTGGAGAACGGTAACAACGCAATAAAAAATCGATCGATCTATCGTTCAAGGCGAGGACATCGTGAGATAATACGTAACACGCGGAAAGTCCTTCGACATTGTCGATCGCATATTCTGGGGAAATAGCAGCCGATGAAAATGTGGGAGGGGCGGGAAGAGAGAGAGAGAGAGAGGAGAGGAGGGGAAAGGGGAAAAAAAGGATCAACGTAACGTAGCGGAATTAGTATTTATATTAGTTTTTAAA